TGAAAAAGAGAGAACAAGGGGACAGTTTTGCTGCCATATTTATTTATTTATTTATTTATTTATTTAAATTTTTTTTTCAACGTTTTTTATTTATTTTTGGGACAGAGAGAAACAGAGCATGAACGGGGGAGGGGCAGAGAGAGAGGGAGACACAGCATCGGAAACAGGCTCCAGGCTCCAGGCTCCGAGCCATCAGCCCAGAGCCTGACGCGGGGCTCGAACTCACGGACCGCGAGATCGTGACCTGGCTGAAGTCGGACGCTTAACCGACTGCGCCACCCAGGCGCCCCAGTTGCTGCCATATTTAAAGGGCTATAAAACTGTGTGGTATTGGTGCTGGAATGAACAGATCAATGGAAATGGAGAGAAACTTCAGGTACAGACCAAAGAACATGTAGGATTTAGGTGATAATTACAGTAGCACTTTTATTGGGCAAAAACTTTTGTATTTATTCAGTAAGAGGCATTGAGACCACTAATCACTTTGGGGGCAATATGAGATCAATATTTTCTTTCTTACCAAACACATTTCAAGCACACCAAAGATTAAAGTAACTTAATGTGTCTTTTTTCCTTTTGAAAACCTAAAATATAAGGAATAAACATCTTCAAAATAAAAAAAAGAATAAAAAGGAAGACATATAAATAAGTTACACTGAATTCCACTGTGTAGACATAAATAACAATGGGGCACATTTTAATGATTGTATTATTTGAGATATGAAGGATGAAAAAGGCCAGGCTATGAAGTCTGGATCAAACAGCGCTCTAGGGAGCTGCATGTGCAAAGCACCTGAGGGGGCCTTTGTTGTATGTAAGGAGTTAAACATGGGTCAGTATGGCCCAACTGAAGATCAGAGTAGTAGGATGTGGGATTATGCAGGCAAGCAGGTGTCAGGTCCTGCAGAGACTTGTTAAGGTTAAAAAAAATTTTTTTAATGTTTATTTTTGAGAGAGAGAGAGAGAGAGTGAGTGAATGGGCAAGGGGCAGAGAGAGAGGGAGACACAGAATCCGAAGTAGGCTCCAGACTCTGAGCTGTCAGCACAGAGCCTGACGGGGGCTCTGAGTTTGTGAGTTTGAACTCACAAATTGCGAGATCATGAGCCGAGCTGAAGTTGGACGCTTAACTGACTGAGCCACCCAGGTGCCCTTAGACTTATTAAGGTTTTAAAATTTTATTCTAAATACAGTAAAAAGCCTTAAAAAATTAAGCAGAAGAGGGTATATTTATTTAGCAACTCTTCTGTTTGTATTTTACCAACAGTGTTTTAATAATTAGCTATGGATTTTCATTTTTAATCAAATGCTTTTCAGTGCCCATTACACTGTTAGCTTTATTAATATTGAACCACATATGCATTCCCAGTATAAAATACTGAAATTGATTTGCAATTATTTTATTTAGGCTTTTATAGTCATTTTTATGAATGAAGTTTATCTATAGTTTCTTTTTTTACGTGCCATTCACTTTTTAAATTTTTTATTTTTAAAGTTTATTTAATTTGAGAGAGAGAGAGAGAGAGCAAGCATGAGTGGAAGAGGGGCAGAGAGAGATAGAGAGAGAGAGAATCACAAGCAGGCTCTGCCCTGTTAGCATAGAGCCCAACGCGGGGCTCAAACTCATGAACAATGGAATCATGACCCGAGCCGAAATCAAGAGTTGGATGCCTAACCTGCTGAGCCACCAGGCACCCCCTTAAGATGTAAATTTTTAAATAAACCCCATGGAATTCATTTCCCCCAAATAGCTTTTAATACATTACAATCTATTGATTATTTTTCAAAGTTTCCAGTATTAGTAATTCAAGCAATACAGAAAATTTTAAATTGAAAGAAAGCAAGCATCATCCCCACTTCTGCCTTGCAACCACTGTAACATTTTGGTGAATGTATTTTCAGCTTTTTTGTTTCCCTCATCTTTAGTCTGTCAACAACCTGATGGGTGGCTTTCTCCAAGTCAACATTGTCATTTCTTATATATTTTTCTTGTTGAAAAACTTTATATTGCTGCCTGCATGATTTTCTTTGATCTTAAAATTAAAATTTACCAACTTCTATTCAGTAATTACACTGAATTCCACTGTTTGGAGATAGATAACTGTTCACATTTTGATGTTCTTATTATTTGAGATGTGAGGGATGTTTTTCCTTCACTGATTTATCTGACTTAGAATGTCCTTTCCAATCTTAAAATTATGTCTCCCTTCATTTTATGAGAATCTTCTTTAATGCTCTCCTTATTTTTTTGTGACATTTCTTGGAACTCATAACTATGCATTAATCATAAATTAATATTTCATTTTGGTCACACTACTCCATCGACTCTAAAAATACCTGTAGCAAACCCCAACCTGCCTCTTTGAAAATGAATAGACAGATTAAAATAGTGCTTTGTGTCATTCCAAGTATTCAGGTGAATAATCCTTTTATGCAAAAGACTTATTAAGAAAAGTTAAAAAAACTAATTCATGGTACCAATTGCAGGTGGATATTGCATCTGTAAAGAGAGTGACCCTCTTTCAAGAGATTCTCCTTTTGGGTGAAAAATAAGATCATGAAATTTAAAAATATAGTGGTGGGCAATTGACTTTTGGCATGACAATATGAGGAGGTCCACTGACCCACTTCTAAATGACACATGTGAGAATATTAAATAGAAGGATTTAAAACCAATGGAAATCATCCTAAGGGCAAACAGCAAATGAAGAAACATTCAGGAACATCTTTGAAAACTCAGTAAGAAATGTGGAAAATAAAAAGATGGGAAAGCAGCAACCACTGAAAAACTATAGACTGGCTATACGTTAATCTTTAAATATAAAAGTAGATTTTAGAGATTAAAAGTAGGCTTTAATTTAAAAAGGTAATTAGAGGGGCACCTGGGTGGCTCAGTCGGTTAAGCGTCCAACTTCGGCTCAGGTCACGATCTCACGGTTTGTGAGTTCGAGCTCCAAGTCGGGCTCTGTGCTGACATTTCAGAGCCTGGACGTCTGCTTCAGATTCTGTGTCTCCTTCTCTCTCTTCCCCTCTCCTGCTCGCACTCTGTCTCTCTCTCTCTCTTCCAAAGATAAATAAACATTAAAAAAATTTTTTTTAAAGTTTATTAGAGACAAAGGGGGATACTTTATAAGGTTAACAGGTTAAATTGATCAGTAAGAAAACAACGATAAACACATATGCACTGAAATATATACTAGAAAACAAACACATGAAAGGAGAAATAAATAATTCAAAAAGAGTAAGTGGAGATTTCAGCATTACACTTTCAGTAGTGGATTGAGCAACTAAGCAGAATTTCAACAAGGAAGTAGAAGACTTGAACAATACTCTGCATCAACTATACCTAACAATAAACGTAGAACACAGTGCCCAACAACAACAGAACAAGGTTCATTTCAAGTGCCATTGGGACACTCTCCAGGATAGACCATATGCTAGGCCATACAACAAACCTCAATAATTTTAAAAGGATAAAAATGACACCAAGTATGTCCTCTAAGTGCAATGGAATGAAATTAGAAATGAATAAATTGAAAAAAGTTGAGAAAATTCACATATGTATGGAAATTAAAGAACACGCTCCAAAACAGCCAATAGGTCAAAGAAAAAATAACAAAATCAGAAAATACTTCGAGATGAATGAAAATGAAGATACAACATACCAAAATTTATGGGATGCCATTAAAGCAGTGCTTAGAAGGAATACTTTTGTTGTAAATACCTATATTAAGAAAGAACGAAGATCTCAAAGCAATAACCTACCCTTATATGGTTAACATGGTGATAGTCCCCCAATAGATCTACAGATTCAATGCAATTCCTGTTGGAATCCCAGCTGACTTCTTTGCAGAAATTGTACAAATTGATTCAAAATTCAGATGGAATTTCAAGGGACTCGGGATAGCCAAAACAATCTTGAAAACCAAGAGCAAATTTGGAGAATTCACACTCCCCAGTTTCAAGACTTACTACAAAGCAACAGTAATGAAGACAATGGGGTACTGGCATAAGGATAGAAATATAGATCAATGGAAGAGAATTGAGATTCCAGAAATAAAACCACGTATCCATGGTCAACTGATTTTTGACAAAGGAATGCAGATTACACAGAGGGGAAAAGATATTTTTAACAAATAGTGCTGGGCCACCGGCCACATGCCAAAGTTGTATTCTTCTCACACACCATATATAAAAATTACTTTGAAATGGATCAATTTGAAATTGAACGTAAGAGTTAAAACTAT